TAATATAACTGTAAAACCTGTAACGTCAGATTTTAACTTAATTAACGACCCTTGCTGTGATGAAATGAAATTTAAATCTCAAGAACCAAAATTGAAACCAATAAAATTAATTGAAGCAAATTTGGAAAAACTTACAAATGTCGCAAATGACCAATTTATGACAGATATCGATAAAATATTAAATGAGCCTAATCCACTTGTCAAGTACGATTCACATTATCCTATACTTACATACTGTATAATTGTTTTCATTTTAATTTTTATATGTTTTAAAATTTATCAGAAATTTGGCAATTGTTTTAACTTTAAATCAAAAGATATTAGAAATCCCGATGCAACAATCGGACCTAGTCAGGAAACAGAGGAAATACCAGTTCCAAGACTCAGGATAATTGCCTGAAACTTAGCATTAAAATGTAAGTTTCCTCTTATCGGGGGGGCTGTTACATCCCTGTACTGTAGGGATTAATAATGAGTAAGTGCTTCATCAGCATCTTTAACTCCATAGATTTATCCCATAGTAAAGTTCAAGCTCAGTTCGGATCTGATCGCGGAACCATTAACACTTGCCGAATTTCTCACGTCTAAGTTGTCCTACATTAATTATATTATAAATTAATTAGTGTTAATAAATAAATTCTTTTTTAAAAAAGATTTTAATTTTTCCAATGATAACAGAGCGTAACTATTTCACATAAGTATGTCATAGAATCTTTAAAGTGCCTTCTAGCAAATTACAAATTACTAAACATATTTAATTTATAATCTTTTATATCTACACTCATAAAACTTTATACTTAACTATACTAGAGGAGAGGGGGGCAGTTTAGTACAGAGGCAGTTTTGAATTGTTTGTTTTATGAACGGATCCTTTATCATTCCTAACCTCTGAAACCATTTTAATACTGGTAAAACCGACCTACACATCTGTCAGTTTCCAGCTGACGTCAATGTCAGTGTAGTTTTGAATATCATTCGCCGGTTTGTTTACGAAGACCAGAGTAAATAAATATTTTTTTATTTGTAAGCAAATTACTGAAAAGGTAAGTATTATTTTCAAGTTATTATTATTTTATTGCGTTGTATATATTATATCCCGAGTATTACAAATGAAAATTAATTTGAACTCAAGTAAGTTTTTCGTTCAGAGATGTTTATTTATGCAAAATGGTGTTGGGGTAGATTTGAACAAAATTGCTGGGGCACTTTTGAATAAAATGTTCAAAGGTACCTAACCAAGTAAATATCATGAGATTTCTAAATTTTTAATCGGTTTCTTGTTTCAGTCATCATGGTTAGAAATTACCAAAAGAGAAAAGAAAATTCTGTGAATGAAGACGATGCTGAAAGAGCTGTATTATGGCAACAATGGCATGAAGCTGAAAACTGCTGCTGCTATATATAACATAAAACCAACTACTTTATACAACAGAGTTAAAAAAATTAAAGAGAATATTACTCTAAAATGTAAAGAATATAGTAGCAAACACACAGTTTATCAAGTTTTTACAAATGATGAGGAATATATGCTGGAAAAGTATTTCTTAAGAATGTCTAAAATGAACTACGGCTTGACCTAAGTGCAAGGGAGAGAGAGAATTGGCATACCAATATGCTAATATCTTAGAAAAGTGCCCTGAGACGTGACTAAACAATAAGATTATTGTATTGAACGGATGCGAGTATTGAATGGATGAAAGGATTTATGAAGAGGCATTAATTTTATCATTACGAAAACCCGGAAATACAAGCTTTTCTAGACAACAGACATAACGTTATGATGTTTTATAATAACTATGAAAAAGTACGAGGAAATTTTACTTCAGCTCGCATTTATAACTTGGACGTACATGTACGTTCCTAAGACTCTTATGTTATACTTTTAAGATAGGATTCATAAAGGTACCTTTATGAGATTGTTTTGCAATATTTATATTGATCTCTTTTATAACTTGTAAGTTAGTTTAATCTTGTTCAAGATTGCCCCAGACTGTTTAGTGTTTTATACAATTTATTTAAGTAATAACTAGTATAGGTATGAATGGCTATGTTCAATGAATAAAATGTAAGATGGAAATAACTAAATATAGTCTTAATTATATTCTAAGATACGTGGTTTTTATTTTATCCTGGTTTTACAATACTGCCCCTAGGGGTTTCAAATGTGCCTCGCGGATGGGGCAGATTTGAAGAAAATATGTTTTTTTTTTAAATGGAAATTGCGTTAATTTGATGGGTCAAAATAAATAAATATCATTTTTATTATTTAGTATAAACCCCATATCTATTTATAAAATATAATACATTTTGATTTTTAATACCATATGAGAAATATAATTTAATAACTAAAAAGTGTTCAAAGGTGTCCCCCTCTCCCCTATACTCTTACAATACAGTTTTTGCGTTTTTGTATTTTTCTCAGAAATGAGATATTTTCCCGCGGTAAAAAGTAGCTTATATGTTGACCCGGATAACCAGCATACCAATATCAGCATACCATATATCATCATAACAAATTTCATCAAAATCTGTCCAGTGGTTTTCTCGTGATGCGGTAACAGACAGACAGACAAAAAGACAGGCAGACAGACAGACAAAAATTCTAAAAACTATAGATTCGGACTCTGTATCGATAATAATTTCTATTTAAATTAGATTTTCCAAAAAATATTTAATGTACAGATTCGGCTTAGTTACAATCTTATTATATGTATAGATTACATCTAATAAAAACAAAATATTCATTTGCAAAACAAAAACACACGTCAGAATGTTTTTGATTCGCTCTGAGACAAGGTCGTTTAACGCCTCAATAGCCCGTCGTTGTGAGAACTCATTCACACGGATAGCGTTGGAAACGCCGCGTTTTTTACTGCAAATATGATAAAATAATGATGTATTTAGAGTGTGTAGTCACTTTCTTTTATCGGAAAGATATTTCTAATCTAATCAAATTTTGATTTCATATTGTCATTTATTTTTCGATAATTTTAATTCGCGATAAGTATAGATAAAAGATAATATTTATTATGTTAAATGTACTCATCTAAAATTAAAAAAAAATGGATAGGTATAATCGAATAAATATTATAAGCGCTAAAGTTTGGATGGACGGATGTTTGTTACTCAGTCACACCGTAACGGCAAAATGGATCTGGATGAAATTTGGCACAAAGGTAGATAGATAGATTATAGTCGGGAATATCACGTAGGTTATTTTTTATTGGAAAAATACACGGTTCCTGTGGGATATCCGTACTAACCTTTAAAACGTACCTCGGGACGAATCCAAGCAAAGCGAAGAGGAGTCATTAGTTATAGATAATACTTTATAAACTTAAAATAAATGAATACGAGTATAATAGAGGAATTTTAAAATTAGTATCAGTGATAGAGCAGCTGAGAAGTAATAAGTTACCGTAGTAAAATTTAGTTTAGAGAAAAGTATGGAGGGTCTACGGGAGATGATTCTCTTTCCCTTGTATAAAGGGTGTGTGTGCTAAGATGGCTGTTAGCGGAGTGGAAGAAGGACACATGTTGTGCCAATCCTATAGAATGTGGAATAATAACAAAGAGAGGAAGAAAAAGAAGAGTTTACTAGAAAAAAAATATATACACTAAATGACTCATCACAATCACACCATTGCTCCTATGACATAAAATTATATTGCAAAGAGATAAAATCGATCGTTTTAAATAATATATTTATAGTATAGAGAGATATAAATAAACGCTTTTAATGTTATTAGCCTTTTAGCCGTAATCGTCGGTGAGCCGGTCACGTGGCGACGCGATAATACAACGAGTAATCCTTGACTTCGATCGCAATTATCTGGACATTTTGCATCACTTGACACCATTGCTTTAATATACATTTCTATATCTATACATTTACTAACATTAAATATTCTAGAATAATATAATATATAATAAGAATAATAATAATAAGAATATCCAAGCTCGCAATATATATAATAAGAATATCCAAGCTCAAGTGGCAGTGGGCGGGACACATCGCTCGTAGAACGGACGGTCGTTGGGGACGCAAAGTTCTGGAGTGGCGGCCACGTACCGGAAGGCGAAGCGTGGGCAGGCCTCCCACAAGGTGGATGATTTGGTCAAAGTCGCTGGAGTCCACTCGATGCGGATGGCGCAAGACCGGTTGTCGTGGAAATCTTTGGGGGAGGCCTAGTCCAGCAGTGGACGTGTTTGGGCTGAGACGACGACGACGAAATATTCTATGTCGCTAGCGAATTCGATTCCTGTTTGGCAGAATTATTGTTATTTTTAAAATTTTAGTTTTTTATCTCTTATTACTCATATATTTGTTTTTGTTATTCTCATGGTTTTTCTATTGTAGAATTATATTGAAGTTCTTTATTCAAGTATACTAGTATAAATTATAGAATATATGCGTTGTGTAGTTTATTTAATGGCTAGCAAATTACATGAGGGTGTCATTAGAAGCCGGTTGAACTTGGCTCGGTTACGATCAGTGTTGATAAGATACGCTAGTTACTTTGTAATTATAAAAATTGTACGTATAATCTTAACTATCGCACGTGTAGAATACTATTGGTATTCATGTGTTTTTTATAATTTTATTGTAATATATTCTAGTTTGATAAAACTATGAATTACTTGACTCCGTTACTGGAAAGATTTTTTGATGATTTGATCGATTTTGATGATTATAATAATATTTAAAATATTCAGATATTCATTGTCTTCCTGTTCTGAGAACAAATTAATGAATTATTTGCAGTGAATTAACGAGAATTGTTGCGTGAACGTTATTATCATCAACATTGAATCGACCTTGTCTATTGCATTAGAACCTTGAATTAAAAATAAATCGGAAAATATGTCTTCTTTACCATAGAATTGACTTGAAATAATGAAATTATGAAAAATATTCCCATTTTTATTTAAAACAGTATACATCTTATTTTATATTATTTAATATTCATATTTTTAATAGTACTTTATTATTTTTTCAGGTTTGTCAAACCAGATGAGGTGGCCAAGCTGTGGGGTCAGTTGAAGCAAAATGATAACATGACCTTCGAGAAGTTCAGCAGAGCGATGCGATACCACTACCGTCAGTCAGTCCTTGTGTCGGTACCCACAGCACGTCTCGTCTACCAGTTCGGTCCCAAAGGACCAAGTTTCAAGACAGAAAACCCAAATTTCATTAAAATCAAATCTGAAGTCCACGATATGTCATATTCAAATTCGTAGTTGAATTTCAAGAATGTTTTGGAAAATGCTCATAAAAGAGACGGGGTTAAAGTTAATGTTTCATGTTTGTAACCTGGCTGCGACTCTCGATGAAGCCGTTTTAAAGTTTTCTAATCTTGCTGAAAAATGTTCGGGAGATTTTAGAGTTATCAAAGAGAGTTGTACTAGGAATAAGTTGTTTGAAAAGATAAGTATAGCCGTAGGATTGGAGAAGTAACGATTAGATAGATGTGTGCAATGTAATACGTGTAATGTACGAAGTAAGTAAGTTCGATGTCCGGCTTGGTCTCGTTTCAAAGTTCTCCGTTGGATGGCTGCCGTCAATTAATGGTTGTAAACTTGTTGAAGTGTCCATATTATTTTTTTAAGTGATTTTTATTAAATTAGAAATGGTTTTATTCTGACGTGAAATTTTTTCGCGGTCAATTTTCCAAGGTTGTTCAGAGTTACGAATTTTTGATATAGAGTATTTTTAAAAATTTCGATTGTTATTGTATGGATAAGATTAGTTAATGAAAATTATTATAGTTAATATTTTAAACATTCCGATTTTATTTATAATACTGATGATGTTTTTGACGTTTCGCTAGTTAGAATGTTGCCATACTTACTAACTGTACGATGTACTTAATGACTTTATTTCCACTTTATTATAAGTTCCGTTTAATTTTTTCTAGTTTAAGTATATTTTTATGATTATTTATAATCTCTCTCAGTGTTAGTATCTAGTATAAGATTGAAATGGCGCGAATGTGCAATAAGAAAAATGACAAGCGTAAAGATCTGTAGGCCAAAGATTATGTAGGTTGATGGTACATTGTTTTTTTTTTAAAGTTATATTTTTTTTTGACATTATAAATGTAATTTAGTTTTAAGTTGGACTCTCAGGCAATCGCTGTGATGTAAAGTAAATTTTTAATCGTTTTTATTTATGTATATAGTACACCAATCATCAAATATGTCACAATTGAACTGTAACATTACTTATATACGTTTAAGATTATTTTTTTAAGATAATTAACTATGATCACAAATAATACGTAATGTTAATTTTAATTTAATTTCTATTTTTTCCTCATATTAAATGTAACGAATGTCAATTTTACTGCAAGTACAAAATTCGTGTCTTCAATTTAAACTTAGCACACAGTATTAATTAAGCAATAGATGTAAGTATTTGTATAGTACCAACATAATTTTTTGGGTTTCTACTAAATATTTTAAGCATGAGATCAAATTTAAGTTTATAATTGCTAACTCTATTAGTAAAGACGTATTTTTTGCAACAAACTTTAAATGGATTATTTTTTTTTGTATTTCTCAAATTGTTTTACATTTTTTTTAAAGTATAGATACCATAACGGTGTGACTTCTATATTTTTTTCAAAAAAGTACAGCTAAAAACTTTTCTTAAAATCTTTCTTTTATTTTATTATTTTATGTTTAAAAATTTAAAAAATATATTTAAATAACCAGTTTTAAGAAACATAATTTACATTGTATTGTTACATTCTTTAAAAATTAAATATTTGTATATTTTACTATTACATTCTTGAAACAAGCAACATTTATAAAGGAAAAAAAATCATATTTTAACTAAAATAACTTCAATTTTTAATTAAAAGATATTTAATAATATATTAAAATAAAATTTCAATCCTAATATGATGGATGCATGCTAATGTTATTTGGTCATCGTTTTTAAGATGAATTGAAATTGAAACATTATGTAAACTATTGTACGTATTTTCAACAATTAGAGTTAGAATTTTATTCTTTTTAGATGTGTATTAATAATTTATTTCAAAACAAACGAGATAAACTTTCATAAACTTGTATTCATAACGCCATAATAAGATGCGTGAAATCTGATAAACAAAAAGTAAATATTTATATTTAACTTCTCTTTTGAGGCAGAGCGTTATAAATCATAATTTATCATCGATCAAAAAAGTACTGATTACTAGATACACAATCAGCGACAAAGAATGTCCTCACTGAATGAGCGCTCATTTGAACATTTGAGCGCGCTTTTAATTTTTTTTTGTTTAAACATTTTTAAGCATTGCATTTAAAGTTAAATTTAGTTTGTTGTATATTTATTTCAATTAGAATAATTACCTAAAGACAATTGGTGACAGTTTTAAGATAACTTTTTCATGGGATTGTGTATTATAACTTTTTTGTATCAGTACTTTTTTGATCGATGTAATATATACAAATATAACAAATGATTAGATCTGGCATTATGTTAAATTTCTTATCTTATTAAAAAGGAGAATGGACTGGGCATATGGAACAATTCACAATATATTAATTAGATTGAAAAGCTATGTTGCTACTTTCTTTTTTTGATTTTTTTAGGTTTTTTTTTTAAATTTTGATAAGCCCATACAAGTGGGTTGTTATAACAAACATGTAATATGCAAAAAAGGTCTCACATCAGTAAATACATATATACATAATTGAAGTTAATTTGATTTGTCTTCTACTAGAAATTGTATGGGAATGACATTAAGCGTTATGTCAAACAGATAAAATATGCCATTCGCATATATTTTTTTAAACTGTGACCGTACTGAAAATGTCAGTTTGTCCAAACCTGTTGTGAGGTTAACTCAGTTCATTCTTCTGATTATTTTAGAAAGATAAATTCATTTAATGTAATTTTTAACACGTTTCTAGTTTCTATTTCATTTCTTCAAATATACCTAGATATTTTAAAGCTATTTTTTTAGATATTCGTTTTCTTTTTCATCCAATATGTTAGTTTTATTTACGTTGTATTAATTTTTAGTGAAATGTAAATGTGCAATTGAATACCTATTTATGTATTACAGGATTATACGAAAATAGATAAAAAATATACGAATTATGAATGTGAAAATTGTTTCTTATCATTTTACCCTCTTGTGTTGCCATTTAAAAAATCAAAAATTCAAGCTTACATATTAATTATATGGATCACTAAACTAATATCGATAACTACAGTTTGTGTAAATGAAAAAGTAATGCCAGAATCTCTTATGGGACCTATCATTAAAAATATGAAAATCGAATCTAAGTTTCCAAAGATCACGTTAATTACCAACAAAACAGATATAGATGAATTTGGTACTGCTCTTATTGAAGTTGATTGAAAAATGAATTTAATTCAATTAATTCGCGAATATCACGTAGAATGGAGAAGACACGAAGGAGATGGTTCGATTAAAGAAATCCTTAATGCATCAATAATTATACTTGTAATTTGTCAATATTTGGAAGTCATCTTATAAAAAAGTAAAATCGCAAAACAAAGAATAATAAATAATAAAAGATTTAGTATACAGGAGATGTTATAGTATAGAGAGGCTGATATAGTTCTTTAGAGATGTGACATAGAACTATATGTATTACAATATTGAAAAATCATTATATACAATATACATAATAACATTAAATATATATATATATATATATATATATATATATATATATATATATATATATATACTTGTATTTATAACGCCATAATAAGATGCGTGAAATCTGATAAACAAAAAGTAAATATTTATATTTAACTTCTCTTTTGAGGCAGAGCGTTATAAATCATAATTTATCATCGATCAAAAAAGTACTGATTACTAGATACACAATCAGCGACAAAGAATGTCCTCACCGAATGAGCGCTCATTTGAACATTTGAGCGCTCTTTACATACATAATATATATTACCATTCAATTCCATGGTAACACACACATTACCATTTAATTCCATGGTAAGCTACGAGGCTTGTGGTATGGATACCAGATAGTTGATACACTATACATACCTATATAACTTTAAATACATACATATTTTAAATATAAACACCCATGACTGGTGTACAAACATTCGTGCTTATCACACAAATGAATGCCCCCAGCGGTATTCGAACCTGCAACCGCTGGCATAGAAAGTAGGGTCACTACACACTGAGCCAAACGTGTCGTCATAATATGTTATATTATATGCCTATTGATTAGTAGATTATACATGTCTATGTCTGACCCGATTGCTATGAAGTTCTAATTTACTTGCATAAAGCGGATTACACAGTAGGTACCATTACGATAGTAAAACAGCTCAGAAGGGTTTTCCACGAAGACAAATATTTGGCAATTAACAATTATATTTCTCGCTTTTTCTGTATACTCATTTTACATTTATATTTTATATTCCTAACTCATATAATGCGAATCACCGACTGTCCACTTGACATATCAAACATCTATATTCAAAATCTACGAACTGGCACATAAAATAACTAAATGTTACAGTCGGCCATCCGTTACAATAACGAGTCCCTTCGTTTTAGGCCACACTATGTCAAAAAAAAGTTTCACAATTCATTACAATTCACTCATCTTACATTAAAAAAAAGTTTGTTGAATCCTGCTACTCTCTATTTCTATCTCTAATCTGTTTGTTCTTAACAATAATCAAATATGCTGTTAGATTTTTATTGGTAAATGTATCTTCAGTAGAGGCGTGCACGCAGTGGTACAATCCTCATCTTCACTCTGTGAATCTAGTCGCTAGGTTCGATTTACTATTTCTCTTAAGGCGAGAGAATCTTAGACTGCCCACCCCCTTCAGCTCGGCAGCTAATTTATTTATGTGTCGGTCCAATCTGGCTTGATAATTATTGCTGTTTAACTCGACATCTTCCTTCACTATTTGCAGATTGAAATCTAGGTAAACATATTTATTACTTATATTTGGTGGAACATTGATCATGGTTCTCATTGTTTTGCTCTGAAACCTTTCGAGTATTTCAATATTACTATGGCTGGCTTTACTCCAGAGCTGAATGCCACAACTCCATATAGGCTTTCCGCTTTAGTATAGCTTTATAGGTATTAGATAGCCATTTTACTGTCATTTGCTAACGATGACTTACGACTGATGAGCCCATATATGGTGCGGAATTTGTGTCTAGCTGTTTCCTTTTAGTCCATATGTGTTTGCGCCG